GATTTATTTAGACAATAGTTTAATTTTTAGCAAAAATGAAAAGGAGCATGCTGAGCACCTTCGACTTGTGCTAAATACATTGAGAAAACCAAAAGTCAAGTTAAATCCAAAGAAGTGTGAATGGGCAAAGTACCTTCGACTTGTGCTAAATACATTGAGAAAACCAAAAGTCAAGTTAAATCCAAAGAAGTGTGAATGGGCAAAGCGTCAGGTGTTATGCCTGGGACATGTGATTGATGAAGATGGGGTCAAACCGGAAGATGCCAAAATAGCAGCAATCAAAGATTGGCCAAACCCCCGCACCCTGACTGAGTTGCGGTCGTTTCTTGGGTTAGCCAACTACTATCGAAAGTTCGTAAGACACTTCACGATAATAGCAGCTCCCCTTCGCCGATTGCTTAAGAAAGAAGTAATTTGGAAGTGGGATTCAGACTGCACGATGTCCTTCAAGCATCTGAAAAAGTGTTTGATTAACTAACCAGTTCTTAAAGTGGCAGACCCTTCTTTACCTTTCGTGGTCACAACCGACGCTAGTCAATATGGTATTGGTGTTGTCCTTTAACAAGACGATGGGCATGCATACAGGCCCGTGGAGTTTATGTCTTGCCGACTGCCTAATGAGAAGGTGGCCGCTTCGACGTATGAAAGAGAGTTGTATGCACTACGTGAGGCTCTCAATCATTGGCGACACTACCTTCTGGGACGGCATTTTAAAGTGTACTCTGACCATGAAACACTTCGCTGGCTCAAAACGCAAGCTCGAATGACACCTAAGTTAACAAGGTGGGCTGCAGAGATCGATATGTTTGACTTTGAGTTGAAGCCAGTCAAGGGTAAGTTTAACGTTGTTGCTGATGCACTAAGTCGTGGATCAGACTTTTTCCGTGCTATCGTGACTTACCTATTAGGTACACACCTACAAGAAAAATTTAGAGATGCGTATCCTTCTGATGCTGTTTATGGAACCATGATTAAGCTAGTGCAAGAAAAGCCAGCAGAGTTTCCCGGTCATAAAGTAACTCAGGGTCTATTGTTTGAACGAACTGACGTGCATGATAGGCTGTGTATACCGAATAATGAGGAGATCAAGAGTATGATCTTGGGGGAATGCCATGATACAGAAGGCCATTTTGGGTGGAAGAAGACCTATGGGACCTTGTTACGCTCCTACACCTAGCCTCGAATGAAAGCGGATTGTATCGCGTATGTGCAGGGTTGCCAAGTGTGCCAACGAAACAAAAGCACCACGCAATCGCCCCTCGGGCTACTTAAGCCCTTGCCTATCCCTACCGGCCCTAGAGACTTTGTCTCTATAGATTTCATGGACACTAAGGTAAAAAGCAGAAACGGGAAGACGCAAGTAATGGTCATAGTGGATAGATTCACTAAGTTTGCTGTTTTTGTAGCTTTGCCTGCAGAATCAAAGACTGAATTGGTAATTCGGGAATTCTTTAACCATTGGGTAAAAGACTTTGGACATCCCTTAACTATTGTGAGTGACAGAGATACCAGGTTCACAAGTGAACAATGGCAGCAACTGATGGATGTATATGGTTCTAAGTTGACAATGTCATCAGGTAGGCATCCTGAGACTAATGGTTAGACTGAACAGATGAATAAGATCTTGCAGCAGACTTTGCGCATGTACATTCGTCCCGAACAGATTGACTGGGATGAACAGCTGCCTAAGGTTGCTAGTGCCTATAATAACTYTGTGCACCTATCTACGTGTAAGACTCCTGTGAAGTTACATCTGGGATGGCGTCCACGCAGACCCATTGATCAATTGAACCCGGATCAAGTACATAAGCTTCCTGTAGGGACTAATGAGTTTGAAGTCCAATATCAGAAAGACATTGAGAAAGTAAAAGAAAATATACTTAAAGCACAGCATCAAATGATTGAACAGGCAAATAAACACAGAACCCCGTCTCAATTTGTTGTAGGAGATTTGGTTTGGGTGAAGTCTAAAGAGTTTGCTCCTGAAGAGAACATCTCTCAGAAGCTTCTACCCGCCTACCGAGGACCTTGGCAGGTTCTAGACATAATTGGAGATGTGGATGGTCCTTCGTATGTCATTGAGATTCCTCCTCGTCTACGTACATATCCAGTGTTCCATGCATCCAAGCTCTTACCTTGTGTAACGAATGAGCTCTTCCCAAGTCGCCGGTCAGCGATACCTCCAAGTATGGATGGGAAGTATGACGTGGATAAAATTGTTGCGGAAAGTACTTACCACACTGGACGTAGAGGCAGACCACAACGACAGTATAAAGTAAGGTTTGCATATCAAGATCCTAGTGAAGATCGCTGGTTTACAAGAGAGGAACTGTTAGATTCTGCACCTCATATTGTGTCTGCATACGAAAGTGCAAAGAGAGGAATTCATATCATTGATAGGTAAATGATTCTCAGAGGACTTCGAAACTAGGCCGGCGAGAGTAAAAGGGCCTTTACCCGATATAGGCCTCAGGCCTTGTAAAAATAGAGCAGCACGGGCCTTGTAAAAGTAAAGCATTGCGAAAAGGTATCTTGCGAGGGCTCAGAAACGTGAAAACAGGTCAAAAGTCAAGTTCTCTATCAACAGGCACATCTAAATCTAAGGCAAAGGGCATTGTCAAAAGACTTACCTGTTCACCAGGAGATGTGTATGTCATGWCTGTTCGAGTAAGGGTGTGTCTGTACGTGTAGGCAGTGTACCTGTTCGTGCAATGGAAAGTGCCTGTTCAAGTAGTAAATGTGTCTGTTCGTTTAGAGTTGTGCCTGTCCGAAAGTGAAGTCAGTAGGCACAGTCCCAGTTCTGGTCTAAGTCAAGGGGTCAGTCCAGATCCAGACTTTCAAGTCCAAATCCAGGCCGAAGTGCCTCAGCAGCAGTTGAATCTTATTGGGACTATACTGGGACACATGCAATGCAGGGTCTGGGACAAAGGGAGAGGCTGAATTGAGCCAATGCAGACCCAGCGAGGAGTGGCCAGCACTATAAAAAGAGCTGCCTGCCTCATTCCTCGCCAGATCTCCACTGGCTGCAATGCGTGGAAGTGCTGGTGCACTTGTGTGCTGAGTCAAGAGGAGCAGCGCTGGAGGAGTAGACGCGCTGGAGGGAGGAAGATGCCTGTACGCTGGAAGTGATGCAGTCATAGCTGCCCAGCGAGTTAGCATTAGTAGTAGAGGGTTAGTATGTAGCTATGAGTAGTATCCAGAGTAGATCCTCATGAGTATTGAAGAGTGTATGCATCATAGGAGGAAGGGATTGAGGCTGCGAGTGTTCATTCAAGGTTGGCTATGGAACATACTTACCTGAGTTGGATGTGACCTGCAGAGGTGGCGCTGATGAGTGGTGACCACATTGATGACTTGGAGACTATCTGCAAGGGTAGCACTGATTCACTGGAAGGCGTATTGATGAGTTGGCAAGATATTGGTGTTGCGCTGATGAGCGCTGGACTCAGGGGAACTTTGAAACACTTTGCATTCATATTTTTGATAGTATAAGCTGTGATACTTGGTCCTTCTCTTCTCTACCTTTGTTTATGGTTGAGATTACTGATCACTGCGTGTGAAGATGATGCATGACATGTACACATCTGCGTGAGATGGTCTGCAGGACCCATGCAATTAGGACAGAACAAGGCCCACTAACATCAGTACCTATGTCAGAGAGCAAGAAGCAACATTCTGCTCCTTGCCCTTGGGCAAAGCAAAATGAAGCAGCAACCATAGTATCGGATACACATGTTGTTCTTCTTCTGAAAGGGAACCAGAACCCTGCTCCCTCGAACAGAACAGAAGCTCAGCCATAATTTTTTAATGCATTATTAATTTGTTACCTCACGAGTCACTTTTCAAATCTCTTGCTTTTCTCCGGTCAGCGTTCAGTGTTCTCATGATTGACATTTGTGCACTGTTCACACAATCTTCTGCTAAGAAACTGCTCTCTTTTCTTTTTCATAAGTTTTATATAAATAGACTGGGACCATTTCTAGATTTATGTGAGTCATCCTTGCGCAGGGCCCATGCTCATCTTCTCCGTATCGTTCCAATTTTAATGGATGTCCCCAAGGACTGCGCAGACAACTTTTCACACCTTAAAACCTCTGTTTTCCATCCCAAGGGCGTCAAATCATGCCAAGGGCCCCCCACGTCATTGTTCCAAACTAATGAAGTGTTCCCTCAAATAGTGACCACCGAGCATAGTCAGCTTTAGGAGCTCTGCTTCAAAAGCTGACAACTTGCCAATGAAATGATTTTCCTTTCCGAGCTTGTAAAGCCTGTATTGAAAAGAGTCTGAATAAGCTTCTGAGGATCTTAGGGACAAACTAAATTTTGGTGTGGTTTCCTGCCGAACGCCCTCAAATTACTATCTATCTAACCTTACCTAGAAGGCTGAAATGAAATCCATTCTACCTATTCTACAGAGGAGTTCCCCAGATACAGTGGGAGTAACTCATTTCTACTCATCTAGAAAGTACCGTAACAAAATCACCATCGAATTTGCAAATCTCGAATGTTAAATTGGTGCGTGGTTTAGTCGAGTATTTGGTTTGGAATTGTTGATTACAACGAGTAGGATCCTCAGAGGCCACATGCCCAGCAACCATACAAGATAAGAGAGAACCAATATTGCACATACACAAAATCAACACACGCATGTATGGTATGTGTTGAGATCAGTAACTGATACATCAATAAACACACGGAATACAAGTATTACCCACTAGATAATACATACAAGATATCTGGAGCAGAGACTGTAAGCAACTTTACAGGAACATCATGGTTCATTGCCCAAGAGATGACGCAGAAACAAACTTGATGACACACCGGGAAAGAACTTGAGGCAAGTACATCCTCGAATTAAACTACGAAAGTAGCCTTCCACTTTTGGTACAGTTCATTATGAGTTTCTGATGTTGTTCTCTCCTGCGGTCACTGGGACAGTTTTCACTAGGACACCGAAGGCAAAGAATGAGAACAGCTCCAATAAATATAGTTTAACATACCTTCCACCATTGTTGAAAGTTATTTTTGATCTCAACCGCATTTCGCCATCCTCAAAATTTCCAGTGCGTGTGTGTTTCTGCATAAGGGAGACCACTGCAAAAAGTTAGAAATAGCTTCAAAATGGGTCGACAAAGTACAGAAATGAATAGAATTCCGATATGAATCCAAAACCACACATACAGCACCTCTTCCAGTTCCAGTACCATACATGAGCTTTTGATCCCTCTCTCCTGTTGCTGGGTGGTGGAGAGTTATCAGACTCCCAAATAAAAGAATGACACAGCAGCAGCGGATGACTGCCCAATCATGCGATTCATGCACATTGTCGTGACGCAGACACGGGTGTCATACACGTTCAAAGTTTGAAGCAAAGGCATTAAAGTTGATTAAACCACCACTACCTTTCTCAGTGTAGGGGAAAACGGGAATCTGGCCTACTCCTAGGCTACCAGCCGGGCCGCCCAGGTCACCTTGTTTGACCGGGCGGCCCAGCCGTGCAAGAACCAAAGAAGGTCCTAGAAAAAAAAAAAAAAAAATCTGGAAAAAAAAAGTCCAGAAAAATAAACTGAACAACTTTTGCCTCAGGGTCACATCGAAATTCTTTACCAACTTTAAAATAAAAAATAAATTTCCTTTTTTTTTTTTTTTTTGACACGGCCGGGCAAGTGGTCCCGGGCCACTCTGGTAGCCTAGGCCTCTTCCGAGTTTATCGGAGGTCCCGCGGAGGTTCCGTAAAAGGAAAATGTTTGGGCCCTACAGGCCCACGTATAAAACAAAAAAAAAAAGTAAGCAACTGTATCGAGAGGAATAATGTCAGGGAAGGCCGTGAGCGAGCCCATACTGTCATTAGTACTTCCCTGTCTGAATCTGACCACTACAATCGCTAGTTTCAGATTTTGTTCTGTGTGTTTTGTTTTATAGTGCCCTGTCAGCGAGGCACGGCGCATTCCAAAGACTGCTGAAACGGAGACACGGAGGGCATACTCACACAACTACTTATGACAATGTATCTGCCCGCTTTCCCATGCAAAGCTGTGATTCATTTTTTTTCCCTTTTTTCTGAATCTTCTGTGCTCCGCTGAGGGCATAGTCACACAAGCACTTCAGAGATTGCATTGGACTGCTTTCACGTCCTGCATAGACTCCATAGAGTTTCTTTTTTTGTCTCTTGTTTTTTTTTTTCAATGCAAGCGCCGTGAAGAAATCTGATTTTGGAAGAGTACCACAAAAAAAAAATCATACTTGCGGCAGACTGGTGCGGTGCACGATGCTGCGTGGTGTGCCCTGCGGAATGCATGCAGTGACAATGCGCGCGCACGAGGTGCTCCGTGCACGCAGCGCATGGAGACGCGCTACTGTGCAAGGGTGCGCACGGTGCGCCATGCCTTTTTTCGGCTTGTGTGTGTGTGTGTGTGTGTGTGTGTGTGTGTGTGTGTGTGTGTGTG